TATTGGTGGAGGATAGTCATGATTGTTGCAGACATTGTATGTGGGTTAGGCGAATTGAAACTAATTCCTTAACCATTATCATTGAACATAATTATGAGTGATATACATTGTATATGTATAATATTTGGGAGGAGAAATGGAATGTATTCCATGTTTTGAGGAGAAGAAAGGTAATGAACTCCATTGAACTAAGTTGGCCTATGTATCCAGGGTGAAAGTCTCGAAAACCATTTGTATACATGGGTGCTGATTCCCGCAGACGAAATTTTCATAAAATGGCGAATAGAAGTGAATGTATTTGTATGATGATTTTATCTGTTGAAAACTTGTGAGGTGAAACCTCTGTCGATGGGTTAAATACAGTGGATGTATCTATTGAACCAGAATGAATGAATTGAGACGCGAGTTTGACAAAACATGGTTGTGGAAAGAGTTACACAAATTTTGTCATAGAATAATGAACATGTGCATCATACTTATATCTTGTTAATTCTCACACATTGTGTTAGTATGTTCTACTGGGCTTTAGCTCACCCTACTTAGGAACCATTTTCAGGTATTGGAGACATGCCTCCGCCGAGACAATAGTTTGGGGAGATTTGGAGCAAGAGCTTTCTTTGTTTTAATTATCTTGTATAGCCAAGGGCTAAGTTGTATTGAGTTAGACTCTTCTTGTTGCTGTAACCAAGCAATGTTTTGGAAATGTGTAAGCCCGCAAGGCATTTATTTTGTTGATTATTAACTGGTAGTACATGCTATAGATTCAGGATGAACATTTATGAATATATATTGCATGTGTTATCTTTTGTAATACAAAATCTGATGAATAAAAGCATATAATTTCTATTAACATTATGTTTTAAGGATTGGATTTATTGTAATAATTTGGGGGTGTTACAAAATTGGCTATATAAAATAATAAGATAAAAGGCCACATCTAAACCATAATTATTACACTTTTTCTCTCACAAAAGCCAAAAATGCCAAACCAAACGAGGCTAAAAAAGTTCTAACACCAAAAAGCCAGTTAAAAAAGTCAATGCCAAACGAAGACTAAGAGAAATATCATATCAATAAAAAATAGAGTAAATATTTATAAATTGGTGGATTTTTTTTTTTTTTATCCATACCTAACATAGGTGAGACTTGCACAAAACTAAATTTCTCACAAATTTATAATTATTTTTCAACATTATATTTACTCAGTTTTTACTCAAACCAAGAGACTTTATTTACTCAAAATTTTAAAGCTTACCATGTGGTGGTGACATGTAATCCTCCAAATTTATCACTTTGCCACACACACACATTTACTCATATGAATAAATTTGAGTGCATAAATAAATTTCACATAATATATTGCTCTATTTAAATTTACACTAAAATCTGAATTTGATTGTTGTAATATTTTATATCACATGAAACATTTAATTAAATTTAAGTAAAAATATGAGTAAGTGATGGAGATGACCTTGGATGAAACATATATGAGTGGGATTTGGCCAACTTTTTATTTAGAAAATAAACCTTAGAAGGCAACATATATATGACAAACAATAGTGGTACATACAACAATGATACATTCCACTAATTTGGGAGCACTAATGGATCACTAATGAGGTGAAAATTTTTTAAAAAAAAAAAGAAAAAAAAAAAAACTTGAGGCCAAAATATCACATCAGTCAGTGGGACCCACTCTCTTGAGCTTCTTTAGTGCTCCCAATTTAGAGCTCCCAACCATTTTTCGTGGTACATATATGCAACCAATGAGATCATGAGAATCTCTCTCCATCTTTCAATTAATACCATCCACCCATAATGTCCACTTGTGTGTGTGATACATATATGCAAGAAAGGTTCACATGCATTGCACCACCTAAATCTAATCAAGAACGTTCAAGCACACTCATTTTGCTTAACTTTGAGCTTTGACTTCAATTTATGGTTGCTAATTGCTTTGCCATGTTTTGTGGCAGTGAATAAATTGCAAAATCTTTACACCACATACATTGTACCTTTTGATGAATTCAAATTCCACATGTGGAACAATAATACTCAATACAAACTAAAAGAAACACTAAAAATTTAAGAGAGTGAGAGTGCCTCCTCTCCCATCTTTGATCAGAGTGTATGCCCACCTCCAATCTATCTTGATAGCTAATATTTAATTTTAATTTTTATATAATAAAAATTATGGTAATCGAACATTGATAGTTATTTGATTGAATCACATTTATTTAAAAGAAAAAAAAAGTTTGTATAATTTTGAAAATAATCCATCTATTTTTTAAATCACATTACTATAAAAAAATAAATATTATTATAAAAATTAAATTACAAATTTGCTTAGTATTTAAGTCTAATTGAGCTAATATTTTAGGGGTTTTTAGTTTGAAGTATCTGATATTAAGATTTTATAAGATAATGGACATGCAACATGTTCATAGTAGTTGGGATCTGTCAACATATTCACAAAAAAAATTCTCTTCACAAAGAAATTTTTAGCTTTTCATAGAGAAACTTCTTTTTTCATAGCTCTTAAAAGAGAAATTTCTCTATGATGGGCTAAAATTTCTCTAATAATATTATTGAGATATCTTAACTTTTAAGAAAAAAAACATATTAGACCTCTTTGATTACCTAAAGTTGGAAAGAGGGATGTTTCACTAATTTTTCTAATATTTTATTGCAAAAAAAGAAAAGAAAAGAAAAGAAAAGAAAGAGTATTGACATAGGAGAGTCGAGGGAGAGTAGATTAAAAATAAAATGGGAACTTATCAATAGGTCCCATACAAAAAATTCAGAACTCATCTAATTTTAAAACAAAACACTTTCACCAATTAGTCCTACATATTTTTAATTGTTACTAATTTTTTTTATTTTTTATTTTTAAAGACGCTGCTACATTTCACCAACGTCGGACTTCCGTTAGACAATCATTGAAGACTCGTCGGAATGTTCTATATCACTGGGAAGTCGCTGGAGTATCACTAAAGATTCACAGGAGTATCGTCGAAGTGTTCTGAACATCATCGGAAGTTGCCGGAATGTCTACAATATTTATTGGACGTCAAGAATATCGTCGAAGATTCACTAGAATGTCCAGAATATTGTAAAAAAAAAAAGAGAATAAATTGAGAAATTAGAGCGGAAAAACATAGCAAAATTCGTTAAATATTGATAAATTGAAAGAAGAAAAAAAAAAAAAAAAGCGAGAACAATGGGAAAAAATATATGTTATTTTAATTTTTGTAGGGTTTAATCAAATAATTTTCAATATCAGTGGCGGAGCTAGAAAATTAGGTTAGTGAGGGCACTTATTAATTATAATTTTTATTTAAAAAAAATTCATGAGCAACATTAAGATAATAATCATTTTATAAGATAAATTCAAACATAAAAAATTACATATTCATTATTAACAAGAACAAATCAAAATTCTATAATAGTGTGGAATAGCTCGGTGTGAGATGATGATATAAGTTTGCAATTTTAGCACAATAAATTATGGATCAAAATTCCTAATTTAAAAAAAATAAAAAACATCATTTATAGCACAAATTATTATAAAATCTATTTAATTTTTATTTGAAAGAAAAATATTAAAGAAATGACATTGCTTATAAATGATGTATTTTGAGTAAAAATTATTAAACAGTCTTAGAATATCATATGACGTTACCTACGTGATACTCAAAGTATAGAAAATCACAAATCGCACTAAGTAGTATGTCAACTACTTAAAAATAATGAGTTCATTATATCTAATCTATAATATTTTTTGCTACACTATTGATTTAAACTACTACATAAATAATATCACATAGTGTTCCTAAAGTATCAAATAACTGCTTGTTGTGAATAATATAATAAATCATTAACCAAAGAACATGTTAAGAAAAAAGAAAAAAAAGGACCGAGAATACATTTTATACATAAAAAAAAAATAAAAAAATTACAAAACTGAGGGGGCCATGTGACCCTTCTCGGCCTATGCTACCTCCGCCCCTGTTGATCAAACTGAAAAGCAAGCTTTAAACTGTAAAATATTACAATTTCAAAGCATGATTCTATTAAACATTTATTCTTATTAATCAAACTGATAAATATATTATGAAACTGCAAAATTTTATAGTCCTAAAGAAAGTTGTAAAACTGTAAAATTTTACAATTCTAAATAATGATTCATTTTAGCAACAAAAAAAAAAAAGAAGGTGGTGAAACTATAAAATTTTATAGTTTTCACTGACTGAAACTAAAACTTGAAAGCAATTTGTTCAGAATTTGAAAATTTTCTCTATTACAACAGGAAAATAGAAGTGGGTAGTATAGAAAAGGTAAAAAAAATTGAGAGATTGAAGGAAAGAGATAGATATAGAGAGAGATTTGTTCTCTGACAACTATTTTTGATTTAGATTTAGTCGAATCTGACATAGATTTACTTAGACTTTATGTAAATCTGAGTAAATCTACATCAGATTTGAGTAGATCTACTAATCTTCTGCGTCGGAAACTCATCTCATTCGCTATTAGTGAGCCCGAAATAAGAAATCATTACTCGATGGTTGACGGTGAACTCCAATCAATAGTGGTCATTGGTGATTGTAGAGTAGAAAGAGAAAGAAAATAAAAAAAGCGCGTGGTCATCGCCGAATATTAGAGAAAGAGAGATAAAGAGAAGAAATAAAGTGCAGAGAAAGAGAAGAAGATAATGGGCACATGACTCTATATAAAAAGTTTTGAAATTAAATAGAATACATGCTTTTTAAAAAGGATTTATGGGTAATTTGCCCAACATGAAATAAAATACAAAAACAAATTATATTGTCCTCTTGCAATATTAGAGTTTAATTTACCACAGCCGAGAACAATAAACTCAGGCCAGTCCAATTCAAAAAGCCCAGTCCGTTTATATGGTCTCGAAATCCACCGACTCAACAACAACTTTTTTCGCTAAGGCCCAACAAAAAAAAGCCCATAACACTTTTCGTGCGAACAAAGCCACTGTGAAGTAAAATCTCGATAGAGAGAGAGAAAGCAACAATGGCAGCTTCGGCAATGGTATTGGATCCGAAACCCTTATCTGACCCACCACCGTCGTTCCCATCCTCAAAATATGACCCACACGGCGGCGACCAATCTCCCGCGACCTCCGCCGACGACGACGATCTCTACGGCCGCCTCAAATCCTTCCAACGGCAACTCGAATTCATCGACATTCAGGAGGAGTACGTGAAGGACGAGCTCAAGAATCTCAAGCGAGAGCTTCTACGAGCACAAGAGGAGGTGAAGAGGATTCAATCGGTGCCTCTCGTGATCGGCCAGTTCATGGAGATGGTTGATCAGAACAATGGAATCGTCGGGTCAACCACCGGGTCGAACTACTACGTTCGGATCCTCAGTACGATCAATCGCGAGCTCTTGAAGCCATCGGCTTCTGTGGCTTTGCATCGCCACTCGAACGCTCTTGTTGATGTTTTGCCGCCGGAGGCTGACTCCAGTATCTCGCTTTTGAGCCAATCGGAGAAGCCTGATGTGACCTATAACGTGAGTTCCTAGTTATATATATATATATATGTATATATGTGGTTAATTTGAAGATTAATTGATTGGTTTCAGTATGATAGAACTGGATTTAGGGTTTACATCGATATATGTTATCAATTGCATTTAGGGTTTAACAGAATCAGTAGCCCCTTTATTTAGGTTGAATTGAGTATTTCAATTCTAAAAACTCTATTGTATATTGTGGAACTTGGAAATGCCCAAATTTAGGTTTTTCAGTTTTCAATACTTGGGTGTAATGTTATGTTAATTTGGGGCTATTTGAGTATTTAATTAGGATTTATGAACTATCAAAAGTTTTAATTTTTGTTATACTCCAACATGCTTTTGCAATGTTAGAGACTATTGTCGTGGGATTAGTGTATACTATTAAATATACAAAGGAGTGGTGTTCCCCTCAAATCGAAGTTGGGTCTATCTGAATATTTAGTTAGGATTTATGAACTATCAAAAGCTTTAATTTTTGTTGGACTCGAACATGCTTTTGTAATGTTAGAGACTGTTTGTAGTGGAATTAATGAATTGGTCATTTGTGGTGAGACTCTCATCTGAGGTTCATGTCACCCTTTTTTGAGTATTGATTGCTTACAAATGACGCTTTGACGATTAGGTTGGATCGAGCTAGACATATTGGAAATTTAGAACTACGCACCATGGCCTCTTTTTTAGCATTATTTTCCTGTCCATATGCCCTTGTTCACCCCCTTTTGAGGTTGTACTAACCCATGGGTGATACAGAACTATGCCCCCTCCTCTTTGAGGTTGGATGGCTTCGCCTTACAAGCACCAAACCTCCTTTTGCTCTTCCTTTGGTTTGCCTTGGCTGACAAAGTATAATTTTTAATCAAAGAGCACCTGTAGCCTGTAGCCACATTGATTGTGTGATAGGGCTCAAGTTGAAGTATTGTAAATGAGAAGACTGGTTGTGGAGAAAAACGAAGATAGATTCATATTCACTTATATGAAAATTCTATAGGAACCAGAATAATCCTTGATTTCGTTGCCCCACAAGAATCTGAAGTGTGTCTAGTTTTAAAATAATAATAATAAAAATAATTGAACACCCACATAACTAAGGCTTCGTTTACGAAGTAATAGTTTTAGCCTAAAAGGTAGAAAGTTACTATTAAAAATTAAAAAGCCTATAACATACACAAAAAAGTCAAAGATTCTCTTTTTTCTCTACTTTTTGTATATCTTTTTGTAAAAATACCTCATATTTTAGCCAAAAAACTAAAAAGTTACTAGGGTTCGTTTGGGATGTGAGTTGGTTTTTTGACTTTTTTAGCCTGGGACTAAAAAGCCTCGTTTGGGATAGGCTTTTGGTTTTTTTGACTTTTGTAAAAAAAACAAATGAAATGATTATAGGTTAGATGTGATGTTGTCTTATTGGGCTAAAAAGCCTATTTTGTTTTTTTATGGCTATTTTAGTCAAAAAACCTTTGGCTTTTTTATACCAAACAAGCTCTAAAATAGCTTGTTCCCAAACGAGACCTAAGTATTTGACGTGTTTCAGGTGGACAAGTATTTGTGCTTCTTAGATGGAAAGTTTGTAATAATAATTGGGATTAGTAGGAATTAGTAGAACGATATATATGAGTTTGAGTATAGATTCAGTTTCAATATTTATTTGGGAAGACTAAATAAGTGCACTTTTTAACTTTTTATGAAATATGGGTTGGGTTTGGGTTGGGTTTGAAGTGATGTGTTAGAGAGGTGATATGACTTAAATAAGATGATGTGACTTAAATAACGAGACCTAAGTATTTGACGTGTTTCAGGTGGACAAGTATTTGTGCTTCTTAGATGGAAGGTTTGTAATAATAATTGGGATTAGTAGGAATTAGTAGAACGATATATATGAGTTTGAGTATAGATTCAGTTTCAGGCCTAGTTTGGGAAGACTAAATAAGTGCACTTTTTAACTTTTTATGAAATATGGGTTGGGTTTGGGTTGGGTTTGAAGTGATGTGTTAGAGAGGTGATATGACTTAAATAAGATGATGTGACTTAAATAGGATAGTGACTTTTTGACTTTTTTGTCTTTTTTCAATCATGCCAAACTATTTAGTTTTTCATGCGCTAGTTGATTAATTGTGAATATCATTTTTGGAAGTTATTACTTCTGTTGAGTGCTCGATCATGGTTTCTATTAAGTTGCACCTTCTCTATTCATTTTGTATAAACTGTGTTGAATATTGGCAATTTATTCTTTAAAATGCTTGACCTCATTACAAAGTTGCAGTGTTATGGTTTCTCATCCCAACTCCTCTTTCTCCGAGTCAGGATATTGGAGGATATGACATGCAAAAGCAGGAAATTCGTGAAGCTGTTGAATTACCTTTGACACATCATGAACTATACAAGCAGATCGGTATAGATCCTCCACGGGGTGTTTTGCTTTATGGTCCACCTGGTACAGGTAAAACCATGCTTGCTAAGGCTGTTGCTCATCACACGACAGCAGCCTTCATAAGAGTGGTTGGTTCTGAGTTTGTTCAGAAATACTTGGGTGAGGTATGCTTTGTGAATTTTCTTCTTGCTTTTGGTTGGCTTAGTTTGACTATTATTTGGTCAACGTGATCTTTTAGATTTCATGTCTTCTTTTTCTTATTTTCTCGATGGTCGCTTACTGTAGTACTGGTGCTGGCTGTTATTCAGGGTCCGCGAATGGTTCGTGATGTCTTTCGTCTTGCCAAAGAGAATGCACCTGCAATTATTTTCATTGATGAGGTAGATGCCATTGCAACTGCTAGATTTGATGCACAAACTGGAGCTGATAGAGAAGTTCAACGAATACTTATGGAACTCCTAAATCAGGTATCATGGTTGAAATATGGACTGAGCCAGAATCTATGATAAGATTATTTGAGTAGAAGGATCAAACCATTACTTGCTTATCAGGGAGAAAAAGAGAAAAATTAAAATAAAATAAAATATGGAAAAAAGATAGAAGGATTTTATTCTAATCCACAACAGTGTAAAAAATCATAGTTGGTAGGTTTAGAGACTATCTAATATAATGGGCATTGCTAAAACTATGCATATTTTTGCTCCATTGGATAATTTCATGTCAATTAATTGTGAAGGTGTGAATGATTGACAGATGGATGGGTTCGATCAAACAGTAAATGTGAAGGTTATAATGGCAACTAACCGTGCAGACACCTTGGACCCAGCACTTATACGCCCTGGTTTGAGTTTGAATTCCCCTAAAAGAGGCTTGTTTTTCAGGTCAGTTGTGTTTTGGTATTTGTAACATCCTTTTGATTAAAGCATCATTGAATTCCCTTTGCCTGATAGACGGCAAAAGAGGCTTGTTTTTCAGGTCAGTTGTGTTTTGACATTATCCTCAACCACCTGCATACCACATTGAATAAAGCAACTGCAACCTACTTTGCTTGACTATGGTTAAACCTTGCTCTATTGTGGCTTTAGGGATCTTGCTTGACTTCACATTCAGTTAAATAGACATTGACTATTTGTTGTTCCATAACAGGTTTGCACTGCTAAGATGAACTTGGGTGATGAGGTTGATTTGGAGGATTATGTTTCTCGACCTGATAAAATAAGTGCTGCTGAGGTTAGTTGATTGCTGCCCCTTGAATCTACTGTTGCTTTCAGTAAATATTTTGAGGTTATTACAGACTGTGTTTGGAGGAGCTCTAGAAATATGATTCGAGTGCATATTTCAATACTTCGTTTGGTTTAAGTTTTCAAAAATTGATTCCAATGTCGAATTTCAAAACTCATTTCAGATCATGTTTGGAGAGCAGAGAATTTTTTGAATTTGGAGTCTACCCGGATGTCCGGCCGGTTGACCGAAACAGTACTTTTTTTTTTTTTTTTTGCAATTGCCAATTTTTTTTTTTGCAATTGGCAATCGCCACCTGATATTTGGAAAAAAAAAAAAATTTTGTTTTTGATATTTTTAAATATAGAAATTATTTTTTAGACCAAAATGACAAATAAGTTTTTTGAATTGAATTTTAAAAAGAGTTTAGTTATGAGTTTTGGATAAAATTTTCAATGGAGTTTTAAGTTGTGTGTTTTGTTATGAGTTATAAGTTTTTCAAATAAGTTTTGAAAACTCTTTAAAACTCATAACCAAACAAATTTTCTCATTTCATATGTTACATCATCAATTCAAAACTCTTTTCAAAATTTATAACCAAACAAATTTTATTTTTTCAAATCATAATTCCAAAACTCACAAACTCAAAATACAAATCTATTATCAAATCATAATTCTAAAATTCTACCAAACACTACCATAATTTTTTCCCCTCCCCTCGTCCATGTCATATGACCTATTGTAGATTTTTGTTACCCTTTAAGTAGTTCATCTTTATGGGTAAATTACAAATACACCTCCTGAAATTTGCTTAAAATATATATTGCCTCATGTAGTTTTGGAAATTACAAATACCCCTTTATCAAAAAATTTTATTTAACTGAACTATCAGTAAAAATAAAATTCTTAACTAGTCCCCCCTAAACAACAATAAAATTACTTGAATTGTTAATTGAAATGTATTTATGACATCATTAAAAATAGTTAATTGAGTTAATTCTTTATTAATAAAATGGGCCATTTGTTATCCAATTAGAAACTTGAAGGGGTGGGATGTAATTTCCAGAACCACATGGGATAATTTGTATTATAAGTAAATCTCAGGAGATGTGTTTGTAATTTACCCAATCTTTATGTAATTCATAGTTTTCTTATGTGACGAATTGAATGTTGCATGCATGTATGTGTGTGTTTTGGCTGCATTGCGTTTTTTTTTTATTTCTTTTTTCTTTTTTGGTTGTTGGCATATGTGGAAATGTGTCAATCCAAGTGTTGAAATGCAGGATTTTGAGTGGTTTTTGTCTAGATCAATAATGTTAGTTCAGAAAACATTTTGGAATATGTTTCTTAGGTTTGCTTACTATAGAAAAATAAAAAAGAGGTTTGTTTTTAAAGATCATGTCTCTTGTAATTCATTTTTCTATCTTTGGAGTGTATCATACATCTCTGACATATGTATGGATAGAGTATTGTTGCATTTGAATTATTACTAGGTTTAACTATCCTATGTCCAATACCATGCCTTGCTTCCCACTCTTGTTTTTCTACGTCCAATACTACCACATTAGTGGTCTTGGCCCTCATCCAATACCATGTCTTGCTCCCAATCATTACTTACTAGGATAAACTACCAATAGGTCTTAATAGTAGGGACTTAATCCCCATCAGTCCTATTGAAAATAAGTCCGAATAAAATCGTCGCTAAAAATAATCTTTTTTGACGATTTTTGCATATGCCGAAAAAAATTGATAATAAGTGACTTCTTTTTTGTCACGGTTTTTATAAGTTGTCGCTAAAATTTACAATTAGTGACGTTTTTCTACGACTAGTTTTTCAAACTGCAACTGAAAGTTGAAAATTAGTGACTTTTTTTATGATGATTTTTTTAAATTGTTGCTAAAATTTATAATTAGAGACATTTTTTGTGACAATTTTTAAACTGTAGCTGAAAATTAACATTTAGTGATGTTTTTTTAATAGTGTCTAAATGGACTCCTTTCTTCTTTGTTTTTCAAAGAAAAAATGCAGCACAAAGATATTAGATCCCAGAGTCCAGGGTTTCAAGAACTGTTGCTGTTGATGTTGTTGTGCCAATATCTTTTATCAACTATAGTAATCTGAAGCTCTTATGCATTGTAGTTAGTGTGTTAACTTTGTCTGTGGTGATGATGTCTGCTGATGTTTTTTTAATAGTGTTTGATAAAAATACCATTAATTATCATGGGGCCTATTGGATAATAAGTCCACCTATTGAAACCTACACATAAGTACCCCATATTATTATTATTATTATTATTATTATTATTATTATTATTTTTTAACTCAAGCTATGCCGTGGAAGGAAAGGAGCCTAAATGAACTCCTTTCTTCTTCGTTTTTCAAAGAAAAAATGCAGCACAAAGATATTAGATCCCAGAGTCCAGGGTTTCGAGAACTGTTGCTGTTGATGTTGTTGTGCCAATATCTTTTATCAACTATAGTAATCTGAAGCTCTTATGCATTGTAGTTAGTGTGTTAACTTTGTCTGTTGGGATGATGTCTAGTGTGAGTGTGAGGGTCGGTAGGTACTTCCCTCTGTGAAAGACCTCGCAAGAACCGGTATGTCATACTTCCGAAGGACTTTGAGAAAGGCTACCGGACCAATGTTAAGAAGCCAGATACTGATTTCGACTTCTACAAGTGATATGATGAGTAAGTGAAACATGTAATAGTAATGGATTCTCATGCTAATGAGATTGTATGCCCCCCCAAATGTTGATTTGAGTTGGTTTGTTGTTTACTTGGTATTATTATGGTTCACTAACATATGTTAGTTTGATTCATTAGAGAATGTTGCCCGGTTTTAAGATTTGAATGGTTATTTTTTATTGTTGGATGATGGATGGCAGATAATTCGAAAGAGAAATTAGATGCATTCAATAGTTATGAGATTAACAGTTCGACCAAGCTAACGGTCCGGAGTTTTAATCCCTCCATTTCAATCTTACATCATTGGAAATTTCTTTAAAAAGAAATACATCAATGTTTGCAGTAAACAGGTTTTGAACATTCTGACATAAAACAAATAAAAACCCAAGTTATTTCAAATTCCAACATAAAACAAATAAAAACAAAACATTATTTCAAATTTTGATACTACCCAACCACCACAAACAAACAATATAATCCATGTATGAGATGAGTGATTTGTCTTAATTTTGTTCTCTTTCACGTCATGATTAGATGTGGTAATATTCACTTTAATATTTACTTTTCACTAATTACATAAAAAAACAACTCAATATAAATAAAATTATATGTAATGTATATAAATTTGAGTCTAAAATTAGTTTAGTTTGAGTAAGAACTAAATCAATTCAGTCAATCATTTTAAGATCCGGATCTGTAACCAAATCAAAGTATTAACAGATCCATTAGGCAATAGTCGAATCAATCTAGTCAATAATTTTAAGATCTGGAATCAAATTAAAATATTAAAAAATCGAATCAATCCAACTCTTAAAAATCAAATTAATTCATATCTCGAATTTTCTTAGATCTTTTGTACAAAACCACCCATTCCCACAAAAAAAGAAAAGGGTATCACTGACCACTTGTTTTTCACAATTATTTTTTCATTTTCTTATCAAATTATAAAAAAAAATACATGCAATTGGACCTCATAAAATGGTCTGAAATGTATCAATCAGCTGACAATATTATTATGATATAACACAAGAAAGTACAATAATATACATGTATATAGCACGTGTGTTGTCTATTGGAATGACTTGAGAAAAAGATTATGTAGATCTCTACATACAGTTGACAGCAAAGAGTTGATCCAAACAAACAAACAAACAAACAAACAAAAGTTTTCTCTCCACCTCTCTCTCAGATCAGTGCATATAAGGCAAAGGCATGTGATTGCAAACCTTTGTCAGAAGGACTCCTTTTTTGATTTTGTTGTTATTTCTTTTTCTTCGGGCAGGGTCATTGTACACCTCATGATTTTTATTTTTTTTAAATTATGTTTAAATTATAAATTTAAATAAAAATTTAAAAATAAAAAAATAAAAAAAATAAACATTTCACACATTTTTCTTTTTTCTATTTTCAAAGTTCTACCTAAATCCAACATTTTCTCTCTTTTTTTTATTATTTAATTTCCGTGGGGACGTATTTTGTGAAATAACAGCACGTGACTAAGGTGATATCGGAGTATCATCCGAGATGTCACGTGTCTTCATCATGACGTCGAGATGATCATGGCTAGGCTAAGGTTATCTGCGGAGATACCAGAATCCGAGATGAGCGGATAGGGGACAGGAGTCCTAAAACTGGGGAGGACTTTAGTTTGGATAAAGATAAAACTCTTAGGGAGTTTATCTCTATCTAACTGGGAGTCTAAGATGAGCATTGAGCCAAAGTTTATTAAAGTTAGGCTTCTATAGGGATCAGGTTAGTGTTGCCTATAAAAACAGGGCACCCTCATGGGTCTAAGGTATATTTTTTTTATGCTCTGTTTAGTGAGTTAAGTTTTATTGGCTATCTTTGAGAGATAATTACTAACTTGATCGTTGGAGTGCTCCCGGGTGGACGAACCACCGCCGGATTCATATCTTTCTGTGACAGGTTGTTCGGGCTTAATTTATTCTGTCGGTGCTCTCATGTTGAGTATTCCCCGTTTGGTTGCGTAGTAAAA